CTCACTTCCCTCCTCATCAATAGACAGGTGTCTCAGTTCTAAGGCACGTAGAGATTGAAAATAGAATACATGTGAAACATTCTCTGTCTCGCTAATGATCCAAATAAAGCATGAGCTAATAGAGAGAGACAGGTGAAGACATATCCTCCAACACAAGATAAGAACACACACACACACACACACACACTGCAGTGTCTCTCTAATTCAAGTTTAGTTAGAATGTTCACTGGAAGAAAAAAAAAGAACACATTATAAGATGATCCACCGCTATCACTCTAATCCCCAGACGTACATGTTGCTAATCTCTTTAGCCGCTAACATGTTAAATTAGCCCTAATATCTGCTGAGATTCAAAGCCATAGAGGCCCACCTACGCATGGGCTACCGCCCAGGTTTAGGTCACTCTTCTCCCCCAGCGCTAAAAAAAAAAGATCCAGACATTAGAGTGGGGGGTTGAGGTGGTGGGGGTTGAGGGAAGTAGCAGTGATAGCCATTCGTCACCCTGCCTATCTCGCTCTGACAGATGGGGAGTGCAACGTGCCACATAGAGGAGTCACTGCCTGTAATGACATTAGAGGCACAATGAGACCTGATACACATTTTTCTGTTCCCATCCTGCCTGGCTATTGACTTGTTCTTTTGCTTGATCCTTCCCCTCCTCTCATTTCTGCTGGTGTATCTCCATCCATCCTCACAGAAGATAAAGCGTGGTGTACCACTATCCAAGTCAAAAGCACAAACACACATCAATGAGCTCACAGACACATCCACGTGTACAGCCGCACACAATCACATAGCTACAGCAAAAACATGAAGGAACTTCCAAAAAATTATACATTAAAAAAAAAATGTCCTCAGGGAAAAAAAAGTCATACATGGCAGAAACGCTGAAGTAAAATTTGAGCTCTGTGAGTGTCAACTGACATTCAGATTGTATTTGGAAAACTATATTAAAGTGCTTTTTTCCTATCCTCCTTTTCAAGAAAATGGGAGATTATTTAAAAAGAGAGTGTTTATTTAACGTATGATACACCTTCTAAAAGGTTTACTTACCGCAGTGTAATATGCTGTTTCAAATCCTCCCAGCTACATTTCCTTAGAGGATAGAGGATACTCGCATTATATATATGTTTTTTCAGGACACATGCTATTACCAAATGTGCTACAGATGTACCATGAGCCGAAGCTGTGCTGCAGAGGTGGGGTTTCTTGGAAAACATCACCAGTCCTGTCGTGATAAATCACCTTCCCCAATTTGTTATAACGTATCGAATTAGGATTTGAGAATATCATCCGCAGCAGAATTCTGCACACGTTGCATTTACAGGAGTGTTAGTTTCATTTTTAACATTTTCCCTCACAATTCTCTGAATACAGAAATGTGATGGATAAATGGACACAGCTTTTGTTCTCAGAACTAGTGCTCATGTGCATTTCTTTTCATTCACTGTCTTGTTCCTTTTCTTGGATTGCAAATAAAACTCTGCAGCTGTATTTCAATATGACGAATTTGCCCCGAGCATGAGTCAAGGTAAACTTCCTCTTTTTGTCTCCTCCTTAATTCTTAGTTGTGCTATCTTCATTATCTGTCCTCAATAACAACATTAACAAGCACCCTACAGACTGTCTATTAGAATGTGAAAAAGTGCCATGTGCTGTATATTAGTTTTAGTTACTAAACACTTGGGAGAGAGGCGACCTAGAATCAAGCCTTGTGGTGCACTGAGTGTATATGTTCCCATCGTCCTCCCAGCTCCACTTCTGAGACACACACACACAGAGAGAGAATGCTCATTAGATCTATGTGCTGAATCGCTGCTCCCTCTACATCTCTCCCATCCTCCCCCAGCCTTCATCCCTATCTCTCTCTCTCCCTCTGTCCGTCTGCTTAACAGATGGGAGGGTCGTGGGTACAGCGCTTCCCCTCCCCCTGGAGAGGCCTGGTGCCTCTTCAAAAGATTCCTCTTTATGCTTCACTCCATCTCTCTCTCATCTCTCCATGTTTCTGTTTTCTTCTCTCCACTCTCCTTCTCTTTCATTGTCACCTCTCCAACTCAAAGCGCAGACTTGGGACCCAGGATATAAAACAAGCAGAGGAGCAACCATTGTCCTTCTGTCTGGTTGGTGGCTGTGTGTTCTCTGACCTCAGCAGTCACCCATGCCGGCCGCCTTCCAGTTACCAGGCTAGTGTGAACTCAGGCATACCGTTAGTCAGACTCCACAGAGGAGATTAAGAAAGTCTTTTGTATATTCTTCATTTTCCACAGCTCATTCCCTCTTTCCTTGCACCTTACTTTGGGATTAGTAAATTGGATAATGCATACAAGCTCGTAAAGTCTTTCTTCTGTCTCGCACTGTCTTCATTTTTTCTCTTGTGACTTCCTCGCCTCATTTGCCCTCTCAAGGTCAGGTGTCAGTGTTATTAGCCTGTGAAGAATTCCTCCTGAGGATTACTGCCCTCTGCCACTTGACCATGCTCACTAAGCACTGTTTATTTCATGTATTTCCCTCTGTCTCGCTCACTTGGCGTCATGGGCCTAAATTGGACTGAGTGATTTGGTGGTAATCTGTTAAGTTATCTGATGCTCTATTCACCACGAGGGAAGAAGATGGAAGGGAGTTCGATGAGGAGGTGGGCACTCGGTTTTTATCCAGGAGCTGCCTGGCACTCATATGGGACGGGGGCGGGTGTGAGGAAAAAGTAGGGGGTGTTGGGGTGTCGGGGGGGCAGAGGGAAGGGAACTTGCTTCACTGTGTAGGAGGAGGTAGAGAAGGCAACAGTAAGAAGGAATGGGGAGGGTGGGCGGATTGAGGGGGGCAGCTAAGTGGCAGCAGAACCTCACCTCAGGGAGAGTTGGCTGGTGCTGAGAGCCAACAGATTAAATGTTCAGGACATGGGCTTAGTCTTAGCATTAACATTACGTAAGGCCTAAGGTGTTGCCCCAGTGAGTGTTGACACTGAGAGGTTTGGCTCTGCTCAGTGGGCTGTGGGAGGAATGAGGTGGAGGCCAGGAGGCAGGGATCACAGAGGTAATGCCTCCTTGTTTGGAGCATTGCCCGGGTTGGACAGTGTTGAACACAAAGACTGGGAGGGGATGTTGCTGTCAGCCTGTGATGCAGGAAGG